TTCGCTTGCACCTTTCAAAGAGGAGCTCCCTACTGAAAAGAATTTCTTCGTGCTACCAGACAGTAAGTACAGAAAATGGTGCCAAAGTAATTAAGCGTTTCAAAAAACGCTCTTACTTTCAAATGTATAGATCAAGTGACCGATAGAGGGAGGGGGGCACGATTGGGCTATATATAATGGTAGAAATGTGTCTCACACAGTTATCCGATCCCTGGTCTTTTCAAAACGACGTCGTTCTGTAATTTCCTTCTCGATAGTTTATTAAGGAATGAAAAATGTCTTGCTTTTTGACCTGCCATGGGTTACCGCTTGGCAACAGCATTTTTGCAAAGCCATGTGCGACCATGTGCTAGTTAATGTTTATATCTTACTTCTTGCGGCAAAGTATGTTAAACATAAACTGACTCATAAAAGATACTTCCTATACACTCCAAGGACGTTTTAGCAAAAGCAACTCTTAGCAGTAAAGAAATAATTCATGTGAAGGCGGGAAATGATCATTTTACCCTCACCCCACCCCCGTTATACACAGTTGACTAGGAACGAGAGAGAATTTTAACAAGTTTTTAAGTTTCCGTTGCGTGACTTAGTATAACTCCGTTTAAATAGAGCTGATTTACTATATTTGCGTCTTCTAGTGTTGTTTATATTCTGAACTCTATATTCCCCTGGAAGACGTTGCTCTAGGGATGGGGAAGCCATCTTGCATTTTTTTAGTCTCGTCAGTAATTTCAACGTAAGGATTTTAACTGATCTGAGCAGCTTTTTCTACCATTCCTTACATGGCAATGGTAGAAAAAATTCACGCATGGACACTAATTTTTTTTATTTTCCTGAACTGATTAACATTGATTTGCATCGTTGGCGAAGGTTCATCTCTTCATTGTATCTTTTCTGACCATCAGACATCAGTATATATAAAATATACAAGTCAGATGATGTTGACATACGCCGCTAGGAACTCACTGCTTTTATTTTTGATTTCTGTTATGTCTCTTAAGCAAGCGAAAAAGAAAACTTATAACCCGCTTAAAATGTGCTGACTTGCAGAATAATACAATAGAGTCATGCTTAATGACCCTCTCTAGTCAAACTTCAAATTACTGTCGAGCAAATCAGCACAGTGGGGTAAGTGGAATGTGTTTTTCGAAGCGTTTTGTAAATAAAAAAAATTTCGACATGTGGAGAGCAGCGACAGCGGGATAATGGTAATAAAGGGCTGCTCGTATCTGTTGTAGGGGAAGAGTCGACGAGGGAGGCACCCGCACTAAGGACGGGGGGCTGGTATGCTATTTTGAGAACAACAATAAAATAATACTCGTGCGAACAACTAGTCGCTGTTGTTACTAAAAACATACATATTAATTCAAGCTTGTTGTGGAAATTCAGTAGCCTGATCTATATTGTACCCTCCTTCTTCCCTTAGAAAGCTAACCCATTTTAGTTCATTTTAGGGATGGATTCCTTTAGTCCGCATACGATGCTATGTTAACTTGCTTGCGTGCCAGCCGATATGACGACTTGATATTGACTTGATATTGCCCAGCGAATAAAATATCTGATAGAAACAAAAGTTTCTGCCGCTACAAGAATTACTTTTTTCGTGCTCGCTGTTATCTGGTGTATGTCAAAAACGTTTTTCAAAACGTTCCCAGGCGCAATTGAGAATTTCGTTGCCACGATTTAAGTCTCAAATTCTCTTAAGGTAAAATATTTACTTTTTTAAACCATGGCCATTAAAATTAAAAGCGAGTGGCGAGATAAAAAAAAAAAAAGGAAATGTGGTGCTGCGGTGAATGCGCAGCGACATAACTTCGAACAGGCACGCACCAAATTTTCGCGACTCCATGTTTATTTCGCGATTTTGATGTGCGCATATTTCGCGACTCGATTTTGCGAAAATTTTGTATTTTGAATCACTTGAATTTCTCGTTTTTGAGTGCAACAATTTGCGTTTCATGGGCAAGATTATTTAACTTGTCCTTGATTTAAATAAAACGACTTTAACAAAGGGACAATAACGTCAAAAAAAAAACGCAAAAGCGCGACTAAATGTCAACAGTAACAACAAAGCAGTTCTCACTGTGTCCACAAGCAGTTCATGCTTTTACGTGAATTCATAGGCGTACGGGCACCTTCGGATTTGGGGGGACGGTGACCTTTTTGCCCGAAAAAAATTACACAGTGCCCGAATGCCTGAGTTTTGTAATCGGAATACAAAAGCACTTATATTCTATGAAAAGGGAAACCGTTTATAATTCTCACACTTAGTGAAACGGTTCTAATTCCAGAAGCAGCTATTTTGAAACCTTGCATACTCTACGATCATTATCGACAGTCTATACTCGATCTAGTAAAATCAGAAACTTATCAAAAAAGGATTATTTCTCAAGTGGCGTTGTCCGAAAATGTTATTATCTTGTCCATACTGTTCACAATGACTTAATAAGAGCTCCGCTGAGCATGATGTTGCATGACTGCCAGAATAGATGCGACGAAAAGTTTGTTTTAGTGCAATACTACACTTATGTCTACAGCTGTTTTTGTTATATAACTTTACGTGTGTTGTCTTGAACTGACTGAACAGGCCTTATGGTCTGCTTGGAGTAGCTACTTGTCTAGCCTCCCACGCAGACGTTCTTAGGGGTTCGTCATGCGTTAACGCTTGACGAACCCCTAAGAACGTCTGCGTGGGAAGCTACTCCTTGTCAAGATCACTCGGCATAGTACCTGGCAAAGAGGTCAAAGCTATAGCCTGCGAACGGCAGACGTTTCAAAGATTCCAACTCCGAATGGACACTGCGGGAAAGAATGAATGAATGTAATCGACAAGTTTCCAACATCTTTTAACACTTGATTGACACCACACACCTTGTTTTGGCATGTGTCTATTTAGCCTGACGTTTGAGAATGAAAGTCGTTTTTTTTTTCTTCTTTTTTTTTCAGATTTATCTCAACTGCTGTTGCCCGAATCATGAGCGTTTTGCCCGAAACTTTTTCGAAACATGAGGGGGGCTACCGCCCCTCCCCCCATACTCCCCCCCCCCCCCCACCCCCCCCCCCCCCCCCCCCTGGGCCTTTTTGTTTTTCACTCACTTTCCCCCCCAACACCCTTCCCCCCAAAAGTTCTCCAACAAAAAAAAAAACAATATTGTAAAATATCTAAGCGTTTAAATGATATTCTTTT